GTTCTGGGATCCACTGTTTCCACACACTCTGCGGTTCAGTTTGGCTCCTCTGTAGACAACCTTGTGGGACCTTGTGGCATAAAGCAGTTCCTAAAACAACCCTCATCCCACACAGACATGCACACACTATGCCTGGCTGTGTCCCTGGCAGAGCCACCAGGGACCTGCAGGCAGGGCCACAGAGTCAGCCATGTTCTGTCCTGATGTGGTCGAGGGGAGTCTCTGTCACTCTGTCCTGGCTCAGAGCCCAGAGTCAGCTCCTGGATGGTGAGAGACCCAGCTGCCCTCTGTGAGAGGTGAGAGAGGCACTTCTGGGTATCCTGGGTCCCCTCGCCCACGTCCTCCCCTCCTGTGTCTGTGCTGATGGGGGGCATCCCTGGACCCTTGCATCCCTGATCCTGCTTAGAAGTCAGGTTCCCTCTGGGATGGGTGGCTGGGTCTGCTTGTGAAAATTAATTTTTTTCCCAAAAGGCTCGTTTTCCCCTCTAAGCATCCCTTGTTAAAAGCACTCTCTTCTTACTTCACAATTACAATGTCTGCTCTTTCCTCTCTGTGAAAGGTGAGTGGTTGACCTCCCTGAGATTATGTTTTTTCTGCACAGCCTCTATTTTCTGTGCTCCCTTGTTTCCCTGATTTGTCCTTTATATCATATAGGACTTCTCTCAGTATCTACTCATTCTTATTTGTCTACTGACTGTGAGAAACCAAAAGCTATTAGAAATGTATGCCTGTGATTAGGTCTGGATGACCACAGCCTCAATGAAAGAAACTCTGCCTGGCTCTTTCAAATGACCCCAGTGTCATCACTTTCATGTTTTGCTTTTAAGAGAGTAGAACTGTCTAAAATTCCTGTGACTTTCGTGGATGGTATATTAGTCATCTTTCTACAAACACTTGAGAAAATCCATTTAAAGGAAGAATGCAGCCAGGAATTTAGCTCAGTGGTCACAAGCACAAGGACCCGAGGTCAATCTCTGTTACCAAATAAACAAATAAATAAATTTAAATAAGTAAAGGGAGGAGGAGGAGGATGTTTGGTGCTGGCTCATGGTGTCAGAGGTTTCAGTCCATGGATGTGTGGCTCATTGTTTCGGGGCCAGTGGTGAGGGGACCCCATGGTCAGGGACACACAGTAAATAAAGCTTCTCATATCATGGTGGTCAGGAAGCAAAGAGGTCAAGGAAGGGGTCAAGGTCCCAAGACACCCTCATGGCCACAGCTTCAGTGACCCACTTTCTCCAGCTAAGCTGCACCTCCTGAATTTCTATCATCCCCCAAAGGGCCACTGGCGGGAACCACGCCTTCAGCACACAAGCTTGGAGGGGATATTTTAGATCTGAACTATAACTTTCCACACCTAGATGCCAAAGGCTCACATTCATCTCCCAAGGCAAAAAGTGTCAAATCCATCTCCAAGAGTCACCAAAGTCTTCACAGGTGCAGCACTGCTCCAAAGTCCAAGTCCAAAGTCTCCTCTGAGAGTCAAGATGAGTCTTTGCTTTGAGCTCCTGCAAAAATGAGGAAAAACGCTGTATACTTTCAACATACACAGAGTGAACATTCCTGTTCCAAAGGGAAAGAGTAGAGTGCTAGAAAGGAAAAACCAGACCAAAGCAAAATCAAAACTCAGCAGGACAAGTATTAAATCCTGAAGCTGTATGTCTGGCACCCAAAGCACACTGCACTGAGCTGTGAGTTCCAAAGGGATTGGGCAGCCCCACTCCTATGACCTTGCCAGTTGTAGCCCACATTGCCTCTGTCTTACCTGGCTCCGCTCCCTGCCTGCAGCTTTCCTAGGCAAGCAGTCCATATTCCTGGCACCTGTAATGTCCTAAAGTCTCCATTTCAGCTTTGGCTTCATTTTTACAACTGTATAAATTGTCCTTTCTGGAGCTATCTCTAAGGTCTCTGACCCTGCCACACACTGCCTGGCCTCTCAGGCCTTCTGAAATCTGGGTAGAAGCCCTCGTGATCCTACAACTCATATTTTACATGGCTGCAAAACTAGCATCATGTGGGCAACACCAAAGTCTGCCACTTGCTTGAGCAGTAGCCAGATCCCCTTGGGTCGTGGCTGCAGTGACTTCTAGATAACTGAGCATGGTGAAACAAATTCTGGGTAAACAACTTTCTAGGCAGCACTATGGGAGCAGGGCATTCAGTCATTCTTTCTTTAAAGCAAAATCTTTAAAAGAGGGTTATGGCTTATAGCTGGAGATCCCCCTCAACAAAGCCTCACACACTCATGGGAGGGGATTTGGGGAAGTGATTGGATCCTGGGTATGTAATACTGGCTTAGTCCACCAATGAGCATATAGTTGTGTGTGATTTGGAAAGTGAAGCCTGATGGGAAAAGGCATGGGCATGGAATATCCCTCCTCCTCCCTGATCACGTGCTACTTCCTGCCTGCAATGCCATGGACTGTTTCTCCTTGGCCATGCCCCTCTGCCATGCTGCCCTACCTTGAAGCCAGTCAACTGTGGTCTGAAACCTCTACAAACTGTGAGCTAAAGTAAATCTTTCCTCCTTTAATTTGTGGGTGTCAGGTATTTTTACCCAGCAACAAGTAACTATGACAAGGAATTCCCACTTTTACACCCTTGGCCAATTCCGAAGATGCCTTCAAAGCATCTTTCTAATTGTTCAAGTGCAAAGTACTTGACTTCTTTTTAATATCATGAATCATTTCAGCAACCAAGCCTTCCTTCCCTAACCTCAGCTTTTCAGGAGATTTATTTCTGGCTAAACAGCAATATTTCAAATCCTCCTCTGATTTTTGTTCCCAGTTTTTATTCTAAATCTGGCTAAAAACAGCTAGTCTGAATGCTTACTGCATAATTTTCTCCACCAGATAAATTAGCTATCTATCACTTTTAACTCAGCCTCACACAGTCTCAGAGTATGAACAAACCAAAGATGGATTACACACGTGGCCTCTAGTCCAATTCCTACTAGAGTCCTCATTACCATCTGAAATCTCCTGAGTCTGGCCTTTACTGTCCACATTCCTATCATCATCATTCTGGTCTTCAGAGGTCTTATTTGAATTGCCCAGTAAGGTCTTCTTACAGAATTCGAGGGCTTCTCTAGCCTGTTCCTATTATCTTTTCTATGCTCCCCCTGCAGTCCCATTCCAAAGGTTTCTTAATCACCTTGTCAGGGACAGTCATAGTAGCAACCCCGCTAACAGTTTCTGTATTAGTCAGTTTTCTGTTGCTGTAACAAAACACCTGAAGAAATAAACTTGAAGGTAGAAGACTTATTTTGTCTCACAGCATCAGAAGTTTCAGGTCATGATCATTAGGCTCCAGTGTTTCTCAGCTGGTGTGAGGCAGAACGTTGTAGCAGGGAGCATGTGGTACTTGGTCCCTGATGCTCATGATAATGGCATGGCTCTCAGCTGGATGTGCTGTTGGGAGATGGTGGGACTTCTAAGACACAAAGCATAGTCAGAGGAAGTCAGTCCCTGGAGTCTTAGTTTTGAAGATTATATGGAGACCACCCGGTTCCTTCCTCTCCCCTTCTACTTCCCAGCCACCATGAGGTAGCAGCTTTCTCCACTACATCTTCCACCATGATGTTCTGCCTCAACATAGGCCCAGAAACAATACAGCCAAGTGACCATGACTGCCATGGGCCAAAATAAGTCTGTCCTCTCTTAAATGGATTTTCTCAGATATTTTGTCACCATCATGGAAAGCTGACTAACTCAGAAAGTGAAGGTCCAACCTGAAGGACAAAGACCTAGGAATCTCAATGTTAAGTCCACATAAGTCAAAGGGTCCTTATGCTTGCAGTCTGGTACCCCAATGCTCAACTCACCCCAGTCAGATCAGGAGTCTAGGCTTTCACCTTCTTGTATAGAGAGAGGAAGTATATTTGTATCTGGCCACTACATAATGGACTTAGCTCTAATCCTCTCTGCTCCCACTTTTAGAGGCATCTGGGAGAAGGAGGACTTGGTGTGTAAATCATCCTGCTTCTTAGATTTTCTGGCTGATGGGGTGAAGTTCTGGATTCATTTTCCCACAGTGTACATGCTTTCCAGTGCCCTAGATCTGTTGCTGGGGAAGTGTCAATGTCTTTGAAAATGGTCCCTTTGCCTGTAAGTGGGGTGGGTTAGAGAGAGAAGATCCATTTATGCTCAGCCCACCGTGTCCCTTGTTATCTTCTTGGTGAGTGAACTCAGGCCCAGAGAAGCCACGCATGAGGGGGTAACAGGGCTAACAGTGGGATCTACACCTTCCATTGATGCCTTTGACCTGTTGACCTTTGCAGACTTTGGATGAGGCCAGCAGTCTGGCACAGGCTGGTCACTGCCCTGCAGTCACAGCCAGTGTTTATGTGCCCAGGAGTGTGCTGTGTGCCCGATGCCGTTCTGATGCCTGTGGTGCTGTGTTTTAGCATTTCAGTGGCTTTATAATGGGGTCATTATTATCCTTTCATTTTGCAGAGCAGCAAAGGGATGCACAGAGAGGCTGTAAATTATCTGAAGTTGCACAGCTAGACAGTAGTGGCTCTGTGGTATAAACCTAGACCAGGCTTTCTCGACCCTGGCACTGCCAACTCTTCAGACTGCATGTTCTACTTTGTGAGGCAGTCCTGGTCATGCAGGCTGTTTAGCTACATCCCTGGGCTGTGTCCACTAAAGGTCTACAATCTACACACCCCTTCTAGGTGTGACAACCAAAATTATCTCCAGACAACAGCCAAACGTCCCTTCAAGACACTGACGTCTCCACTGAGGATGAGTAACCAGGCCCTTGGTGACTCTACCTCTTGGTCTCAGGAAGGTCTGCAGACCTCTTCCCTAATCCCGGAACTGGACAGCAAGGCCCTGCCCCTGGCTTTGGGCAGTTCCTGCTCCACCTCCCCTCCCATCCACAGCCCCCAAATTACCCACCATCCCATGCATGGGATCTGACCGGGGCTGCAGGTGTAACTGGCACCCTTGGAAAAGCCCCATCTGATGTTGTGTCTCTCACCATCTCCCCCACAGAGCCAAGGTGAAGAAGGGGGTGAGCATCCTCAGTGCACAGACCAGTGAGCCGCAGCAGTGGGATGTGAAGCAGGAGGTGTGGAATGGCGGGAAGCACGCCACAGCCACGGTGGCCTGCCAGCGCCTGGGCGCACACAACAGGTAAGCAGCCCACTCCTCGGGGGCACCGGTCACATGTCCTGGTCCTGTAGGCAGATCCTGTGTACAGCCCCATCAGCCTTTGGCAGAGCTGTTGGTTAGCCAGGCGAGCCCCCTGGAGGTGCTCAGAGGAACTGCGGCACCGCTCCCTCTGCGCTGGCCACAGCACCACATGGGTTCTGTGGTCTGTTACTCCCGCTGTGCCTGCCGCTGCCTCTGTGCTGACTCACTACCCGCGCTGGGTGTCAGGCACACTGTGCAAGGCGCTGCTTTCTGCACAGAGGGTCAGGTCCATGATACGTGACAAGAAATTTCGAGAAAAGTGCTGAAAGTTGATAGTGATGGCAAAATAAGGGCGTGCTACACAGGGCCCTGTGCGCACTTTGAGGGTTGTTGTTTACGATCCTGTCCTGATTAAAAAAGGACATGTGTTGGGAAGACTTAGTGATCTGGGAAAAAGAAAAGCTGCACACCAGCACCCTTCTTCCCAAGCATGGTGCACTGGTAACAGCAGGCTCAGGCTTGCAGTGCTCCCATGTGTCTAACCTCCATCATGTAGCAGTACGGGAGCTTCACTCACTTCACGAATTCAGAATCACAATTAACGTACAGTTGTTCAGATAGTCTTATTTTTATATTTTCACTTACATTGGAAGCATGTTCTCTTGACTGTCAATATTTCTTTAAAACAATTTTAATGGCTGTGCAACAGTGCGTCCTTGCATGTGACGTGGTGTGAATACGTGGTGTATCTGGACACCGAGGTTGCTTTCATCATCATGTATAATACGATGCGGGACACGGCCCTGGCTTCCCCAAAAATCTTTCTCCACTTCACTTGGAAAAAGAAAATGAAAGGGGCTTTTTTTCATTACAAGTCTAATTAATGCCTGATTCTACTTTGGAAATAGAAGGATTTCCTTTTCTTGTTACTGCAAATCTGCCTGGAAGTGGCACTGGCCATGGGACTTGTTGGCCCGGGGTAGCAGAAATGAACACCAAGGTAGAAGAACAGGCAGGGTGGGCCTCAACCAGAAAGGGGCTGACAGGCTCGGGTAGGGCCTTGGCCAATCGTGGTCTCACTCCTGGTTCCACAGTGTGGCTGCAGAGAAGTCCTTATTGCTGTGGAGTGGGGACAGCCTGGTTCCCAGGAGAGGACTGCTCCTGTGTGCAGGGAGGGGCCAGCCCCTTCCAGTCATGGGATAAGGGCTCCCATTAGAGTGATGTCACCACGGGTGATCCGCCTGCCGGGCTCCCTGTTCCTGGAATCCAGGGTGACTGCAGGCTGAGGCAGTGATGCCAGACGCCCAGGCGCCATTCTGGGTCCTGGAGTGAGACAGCACCAAAGCACCATGGCCGTGTCTGACATCCTGAGGGTAGTAACTCCATTACCATTATCTTGGTGACCTCAGACTTGAAGGGAGAAGAGCCAGGTTTGGCTCAACGCCTTGGTGCTTTTCTGCACTTTCCATCTCAACAGGGGATGGGTCAGGGCTGAGACCGAAGGTTCTTCATCCTCTGTCCCTGCAGTTTTCCCAAAGTGTCTGAGAGTCCTGGCCACATGCTGTGCATCCCCTCTGCTGGCCTAAAGATGCCCAGGTGGAGAGGGGCGGAACTCAGGCCAGCCTGGAGTTTTCCTAAAAGTACATGCAGATTGTGGTCCTGCATTTTCTCAGCGGCATAAAGCCTATTCTTTCCGTGTGTTAGTTTGGGTAAGATTGCTTAGTGAGGAGAGAAACATACTTTGCAAGTTGAATAGCATAGCACTTCTTTATTACAAAAACTTTCTCTAACTATCTTGCTGCTGCTCTGAAACTTTCTGATTGTGATTAGCATAGTAAAACAGGTGTCCACAAAAACCGACAGCATTTTGTGCTGTTGTTGCATTTCTCAAGGTAAGATGATATAAAATCAGTAAGGCTAGTGTTTTCCAGTATCTGTATTTCTTTTCTATTTTTGATTAATAAATACAAACCTTACAAATCAATGGGGACCAGTGCAGTGTTTCAATATACGCTATATGGTTCCCATTGTTGGTTTCTTAATATCAAAAAGTATGACCACATTTAAGTCTCTTCATACATCCTGTCATTGTGTTTTCCTGCTGTGATTATTGGGCACACTGTCTCCAGTGAATGTTACAAAGCTGCCTCAAAACCAGGAGAAGGAAGGGAGGAGGAAGGAAAGAAGGGAAAATCTTCTACCTCTCTGCTTTATAAACACTCTTGTTCTTTTAACTGCAAGCGCACCCCACAAGTGTGGTTTAGATCTGGGTGTCCCCCAAAGCCTCCTGTGTTTGGTCAGTGACTAAACCCTGGGGTGCTACACAGGGTGGGCTGCCAGCTGTGAGTGGTTGGAGCTGTCTCTGGGGCCTAATGGAAGGTGACCTGTTCTGGGCTCCTCCCTCCTCCCTCTGCTTCCTGACCTTACAAAGAACCCACTTGTCCTTGAAGTGGGACCTGATGGGGAAAAGAAAGAAGGGAATGGAATTAACATGAGAAAAGGAAAAAAATGGAAACAAAGTCTTTGTAGATAGGGAGGAGTGGAGGGGGGAGGTGAAGGGAGGGCAGGGGACTGGGGAAAAAATAGGAACCAAGATGGATTATGTAAAGGTGCAAATTTCCAACAATGAATGTCACTACATTGTACACCTTAAATGTTCCAGTGAAATTAATTTTAAAAAAGAGAGAGAATCCACTTGTCAAAAAGAGGCCTTTGGAAGGAAAGTATATTCTAGCTAACAGACTAAAATCAGGAGATTCTAGCAGCTGGATGGGAGAGAGTTCATCTGTGAGAGGATGGCTGACACCAGGAGAGAGACGTTAGCAATAACTGGGAAAGGAGTGCGGCTTGTGTAGGGACGGGAGGGGCTCAGGAATCAGGGCGATGTGTTAAGACTGGGGCGCCCAAGGACAGTAGGCTCAGGTGTGCACACAGTTACTGGAATTCTCGTACCAGGGGATTGTGCTCTGCATTCTGGGTCCATCTGCCCTATTGGCCATTTCCCATTGCTTTGGGCTAGGCCCAAAGCACCTCCCTCTGAGGGGAGCCACCCTTCTGCGTGCTGTCTCTGCCCAGAAGCCAGCGAACTGGCCACCCAGTTCTCTAGACGCCAAGCCCACGTAAGCCCGTCCACCTTTGAGGTGTGGGTGTTGAGTGTTTTGTCCCAGCAACAACAACCAGACTAAGCCAGCCAGACTCTCTAGGGTGTAACCAGGAAAAGCGCCTGGGGTCCTGGGCAGCCTCAGATCGCAGCTGGCCATAATGATTGTGACGGTGAGGAGGACTTTAGTACATCTGGGGGCACGCCGGGGGCGGGAGGTGGGTGTCTGACCTCTGACCTGGTGGCAACTTGGCCAGAAAGACATGTGTGCCTGTGTCCCTTCTTACTGGAGGAGGCCAAGTTAACCCTCCTGAATAGCGAACGTGTGAAGTGCCTAATTAGCCCACAAGATTAGTGTTGATCACACAAATGAAAGCAAGCTTGTTAATTAGCAGAGAGTCTGTGTGTAAATAGTTCTTCCAGTCCGAAGCAGAGGACCCAGGAGGTGGAGATGAGCCACTGCCATGGAGGAAGCCCCGCCCATCCTGGGTCTGAATCTCAGTGAAACAGTGAATCCCAGGGTTGGCCGCCTTCTGGATTCAAGACCCATTCACTGCTGGGTGAGAGCCCAGCCGGATTTGCCCCGCTGCTCTCTGCAGCCCCGCTTGAGGTCTCAGAGGTGACCCTGCCCTTTCGAAAGAGCTACCGGTGCCAGGCTGTCCATGTGGTCCCACGCCTTGGAGAATTCCCAGCAGCACCGGGAGCCGGGAGCCCCTGCAGCCCGTGGTGGCGTTGTCCACACCACGGACGGCAGTCACAGCCCAGTGTGAGTGCTGATGATGAGCCTGGTTGTCAGCTCATCACCCTCGGGGCCTCTGTGCACCAACTTTTCCCCTGACCTGCGGGAGCACCCATGGTGATGCGCTCCGCACGGTGCCTGGGACCTGTCTACTGGGTTAGGGCCAAGGCCTATGTCCTTGGGACAGGGGATGGTGCCCAGCATACGTGCAGCTCACACCAGCACGGCAGTGACATGGGGTGGAAGGGCCACCTTCCCCTGCTGGGGTGCAAGCTACCCCGAAACTGGAACAGTTCGCATTGTGACACAGGGCCGGGGGTTGGGACCCTGCCTGTCTTACCAGGACCCTAGGCTCAGAGGTCTCAGGAGACTGCGGTGTTGGCCAGGGTCTGACTGGGGAAGGGGCCTTGCTCACTTGGGGACTGGGTCCACGCTGATCCTGACCAGGTGTGGGTCTCCATCGGGAGCCCAGGAACGAGCTGGGCAGGGAGAAAACACCAGCACCTGAAGCCATGACCACGTCTTGCAAGTGGTATCGAATGCCATGGCTAGAAGCCAGCCTGAGTCCCAGGAGGGCTGCCTGAGAAGACGGGCCGGACATTCCTGACAGCCCCTGAGGACCGGAGGGAAGAAGGGAGGTGAAGAGGTAGGGACTGGCAGCGCCAGTGGCACAGGAATTAGCTAGAGCCGGGAGTCCAAACACCTGCGTGGGGAGGAGGGTGTGGCTTGGCTGGAACAGGAAGGACTTACAGGATCAGGAAGGAAAACTGAGGCCACGAGAAAGGAAGAAAGGGATGGCATCCTGTTCCCTTAGCGGCTTATTATGGTCCATACCATCTGATGGTCTGAGGCCCTGCAGTGCAAGGTGTGGCAGGACAGTGACTCTTGCGCTGCAGTCTGCTGACACCTGGGGCTTCGATTACTTAGTGCAGCATTGTGGTGACCAGACTGACCTTCCGACAGGTTCCCCACTAAAACACTGAAGCCAAGTCAGGGCCAGGAGCAGCAACAGGGAGGAGTGGGTCCCCAGCTGCCCGGACGTCTGGCCTGACCAGTATGCATGTTTGGGTTGGCAAGCTTAGCACAAGGACAGCCACGCACACCGCTGCAGGCCCACAAGGGAGCTCACGGCCAGCTCTGGCGAGAACTGCAGGTGGGTGG